GAGAATCGCTTGAGCCTGACAGTTCAAGGCTGCAGTGAGCCATGGTTGTGCCACTGTCCTCCAGCCTGGAGGACAGGGTGAGACCCTGTCTCTATAAACAAAAACCCAAAGTGTTTACGCCTGGATGAAGGGTTAAAGGCATCAATGATACTGATGACAGATCATTTACGGACTACCCACTATGGGCCAGGCCTGAATATCTGGTCCTGGAGCCCCACCCAGAGCACCAGCACTCCTTGAGCCTGAGAGCTTCTGCCCTCCGGCACACAACCACGAGCTATTTGATCAGGACTCTTGGCCCTTTCCCCCGCTTCTCCATTTCTGTAGTTTTCACTATTTTATAAGGAATATTTAATTGCTCTCACAATAAGGACAACAACGAAAGTTCTGTAATTTTCGGATGTAGTTTTGGCAATAAATGCAACTTGGGAAGTAAGGCTGCCTCCGTCGGCCACCCTTCCCTAGCACACTCCCGCAGGCGCCGGCCTCTGCCCACACGCAGACGGGGCTTGGTGTAGCTGCAACTGCAGGCCAGGACCGGTCTGTAGCACGTGGGGTCCTGTACTTCATACCCCAGGCGTTTCCCTGACCTTCATGCCCCACAGTTACAGCAGTCAAGCCTCTGAGCTCACGCCCAGCTGGGGTGGAGGACAGGGACACCTTCAACTTGTCACTGGCTGTGCCAGGCACGTCTTCACCCTTGTTCTGCAAACTGCTTCCCAGGCGCCCTGGTGACTGGCTCCCGGCCACAGAGAGACGTGGATAGAGGAAGAAAGGCAAGTGGAGTGAATGGGCAGAGAAATCCCCCCCTCATTCTGCATCAGACTGTATCCCAACCCGCAAAGTGGGCACATGCCCCGATGGTGAGCCCCCTGCCGTAGTTCCAGCTCCCACGAGACGGCGCTGGCCTGAGCTCTGGGCTCACTCCCTCCTCCGCACCTCTCTCCAGCTCCTCCCCCATCTGTGCAACCAACTCCTGGATGCACGTCCCTCTGTTTTAATACCTGAAGTTGTTCCCACTTCCCGGCTAGGACCTGGCTGATTCTCCACATATTGTCAAGCAGCCAAAGGGGGGCCCCCACCTGAACTTGCACCAGCAGAGGTCAGGAGCTCAGGGGAGTTTGGGCTTGTTTTCCATTTTTCCCAATACAGAAAAGCATCAAGAATAAAACAAAAACAGTCCACAATATTGTCAACTACATAAGCCCTACCCATAAGCAAATGCTCAAAATTATAAAAATCAAACAGAAAAGAAAGGTACTGAAAAGTAGAGAAAATTTAAATAAAAGCCTTTTCCACCTTTCCCTCCAGACCTTCTCCCCATAGATACCTGTTAACAATTCCTGTGTGTCCATCTAGAGAAAAATAATAATAATGCAAGTATACACCAGCACTACCTATTAAGTGCACATGTGTCTCTAAAATTTAAACACAAGGGCCAGTGCTGTATACACTGCTCTCCACCCTGCCTCTGTCACTCAGTTACACAGCCTAGAGGTGACCCAGCAGTCCTCACAGCTTTCCTCACTCCTCTTAACAGCTGCAGAGGATGCCAGACCCCAACTGAGAGGCATTTAGTTCCCAGTTTTTTATGTTTTTATGTTTTTTTTTAACTATTATGCAACAATGCTTCAATAAGCATCCATCCTAGGATATACACTTGTTGCGCTCTTTAAAAAAATTTATAATCTTGGCGGAGCACAGTGGCTCACGCCTGTAATCCTACCACTCTGGGAGGCCGAGGCGGGAGGATCACTTGAGGCCAGGAGTTCAAGATCAGCCTGAGCAAGAGTGAGACCCGTCTCTACTGAAAGTAGAAAAATTAGCCGGGCATGCTAGTGTGTTCCTGTC